CCATCAATGTTGTTGATTGTGCTTTTGACTGTTAAGCACAGTGGACGCTCGGGTTACGAACATGATCCGTGCAGGAGGCACGTTCTCAACCCGCAGCGTTTGCAACCCGCAGCACTGTGTCTGCGCAAGCACGGGTCATGATACGGCGCTTCTGTGCATGTGCAAGCGCCGAAACCCGGAAGTTACCCATTCTGGCACTTCTGGGTTCAGCGCAGTGCGCAACCCAAAAACGTACAACCTGAAGTGTCTGTAACCCAAGGTATGACTGAATAACGGTTTAATTGACACAGAAATGAAAAATGGTTTAACATGGTGCTTTTCCATGGGGCTATATTAAACCCAAGGAGAGCACTTGGAGCTCTTGCTAAGTGAATGATTAACTGACTGATTGTTGTTTCTCCGGTAGCTAACATACGTGTACTGTAACCTTAGATCATGTGAGAGGCATGGGGTTGCATATCTCCATTTTGAAGGGAGTTTTTTCTCCCAAACCCAATGGAGTGAAGATGTAAAATGAAGTCCTCCTGAAGGAAGGGTAAACAACCTGGAGGCTGGAATGCAGGCTGTGGAGAGAGAGAGAGAGAGAGAGAGAGAGAGAGAGAGAGACCTTTGCTTTTAGGAGATGGTTGGATTATGTCATATTTTGTAAGACGCTGAGCCTGTGCTGAACAGCATAATACATTGTATGGATGTTTTGGATGAATCATTTACTGTATTCTGTTTTATTTTAAAGAGTTCTGCCAGTAAAAGTTTGAATAATATTTTTATGGGTCTGGACAATTATTTATTCCAAATAGTTATTATGCTTCTGGACACTTCAAACTGTGCAATATTAATATTGGCAACAATAACTATATAACCATATACATAGAACCAGGTGTGCAGAACAATGAGCTCCATCAGTCCCGAAAGGCACCGTATCCAAGGGAGCTCATTTCTCCCTTGGCGTGCTGGACCCATGGGGCTGTGGTAGGCTTCTTCATCCACTGTGCCCCCCCCCCCCGCGCACGCTTGCACGTGCCCCCCCAAACACTGTGAGCTCACACAATGCCACTGAACCACAGAAACACCCCACAAGCAGATCAGGACAAATGCTCATTGTCATATAACTGCCTCACAATCAAATAATGCTCCATAAAGGCCAGGCATGGCCTAACCTCCTCAAAAGCTTTGTGGATGCAAATCAGGATGAACCCTCGATAAATGGGTCACATAGAACAGCCTTCCTCCTTTGAACTTATGGGGCCTAATTTCTGAAGAGAGTTATAATGAAATGAATGCCCAATTCCAATACAGTGGTACCTCGGGTTAAGAACTTAATTCGTTCCGGAGGTCCATTCTTAACCTGAAACTGTTCTTAACCTGAAGCACCACTTTAGCTAATGGGGCGTCCTGCTGCCGCCGTGCTGCCGCCATGTGATTTCTGTTCTCATCCTGAAGCAAAGTTCTTAACCCAAGGTACTATTTCTGGGTTAGCGGAGTATGTAACCTGAAGTGTCTGTAACCTGAAGCGTCTGTAACCCGGGGTACCACTGTATAATCTGAAATAAACCTGAGAGCGGAGCATGAAACTTTGTTTATCTTCAGCTAGGCCTCATATGTTCTCACCATCACTGGGCACAATGTGGGCACCTCATGGCGTCTGGAGCCAAGAAACAGATGCCACCAATTTTGTTGTTTTACCTTTTGACCTGCTGCTGTTGCGAACGTCTGTGGAGATTTACTCAGCCCTCTGCCTAGAAGGTGTTTTGGTGGGGAAAGGCATGACACTGTAGATAATGGAGATAAGTCACCAGTTGTAGCTCAGTGGGGACAGAAAGGCACTGTTTCTTCCTTTGCTAAGGCTGGGAAGCGTCAAGAAAATGTGTCAGGTATGGTGATGGTCGGAGGCGAGGCAGCTTTTGTCAATGGGAGACTGGATTGTTCTTTCCACTCACTATCCTAAGACTAATAGCTCTTGAAGTATGTATTCTTTCGTTATAAGGTTGTGAAGGGATAGCTTCAGGTGACTGCTAGTGGGAGAGAAATGCTAACTTCATACTTCACAGTAGGCTGAAAAGACCAGCTACTCCTGCATAGGCAAACAAGGACTGTTTCAAGGGCGTTTTATGAAGGCCACATAACCGATTCCAGACATTGTTGAGTCTGTGATATACATTTAAAGCAGTATCATAACACTTTAAACAGCCACAAAGAATCCTTGGAACTGCATTTGTTAAGAGATCTGAGATTTATTAGGAGACCACTAGGTAAAGGTAAAGGTAAAGGTAAAGGTAAAGGACCCCTGGATGGTTAAGTCCAGTCAAACTTGACTATGGGGTGCAGCGCTCATCTCGCTTCAGGCTGAGGGAGCCGGCGTTTGTCTGTGGACAGCACAATACATCAAGGACTGACTCTCTCCATATGAAGCTACCTGGACTCTGAGATTATCTTCTGAGGCCCTTCTTCATGTGCTTCCTCCACGAGAGGTTTGGAGGGTTACAGCTTGAGAATGGGCCTTTTCTGCGGTGGCTCCCTGTTTGTGGAATGCTCTCCCCAGGGCAGTTCGCCTGGTGCCTTCATTATACACCTTTAGGTGCCAGGAGAAAGTGTTCCTCTTAACCAGGTCTTTAGCTGATTGACATCTGATGCTCTTTCAAACTGTGTTATGGAAGGGGGGTTATTGGATTATCTTTGTTTTTGTTTTTATTATGTATTTTGTGTTTTTTATATAGTGATTTTTGTTGTTCTTAACCACCCTGAGACCTATGGGTATAGGGTGGCATACAAGTTTAATAAATAATGATGGTGGTGGTGGTGGTGGTGGTGGTGATGGTGATGGTGACGGTGACGGTGGTGATGGTGATTTCACAAGTTCCCCGAGATGAGGGATTGTTAAACAGCTCAGACTTCCCTGGGAAGAGGGATTGACTAAGAATTCTAACCATCCAGCACTTGGGACCTTCCCTAGGCCACATCCCTCACGGGCCCTTCCCCTCTCCTTCACTGAGGGCTTTTGCTTGGCTTGAGCTTTGGTGATACCACTTCCATGCCTGGATGGAGAGGCAAGGTGTATGTGCAGCCTAGTGTACAAAGATAAGGTTGACCTCCTGTGATTATAATGCTTCTAAGGGACGCGGATGGCGCTGTGGTCTAAACCATAGAGCCTAGGACTTGCCGATTGGAAGGTCAGTGGTTCAAATCCCCATGACGGGGTGAGCTCCCATTGCTCGGTCCCTGCTCCTGCCAACCTAGCAGTTCGAAAGCACGTCAAAGTGCAAGTAGATAAATAGGTACCGCTCCGGCGGGAAGGTAAACGGTGTTTCCGTGCACTGCTCTGGTTCGCCAGAAACGGCTTGGTCATGCTGACCACATGACCTGGAAGCTGTCTGCAGACAAACACTGGCTCCCTCAGCCAGTAAAACAAGATGAGCGTGTAACCCCAGAGTCATCTGTGACTGGACTTAACGGTCAGGGGTCCCTTTATCTTTACCTTGAAGGGGCCATTGTAGAGAAGGGCACATGGACTTTTCCAGTGCCTTCCACCTGCTGGACCAGTGTGTACCAAACTTGGGTCTCCAACTGTTTTTGGACTACAACTTCCATCATCCATAGCAAGCAGGGCCTGTGGTCCAGGATGATGGGAACTGTAGTCCAAAAACAGCTGGAGAGATAAGTTTGAGAAACCCTGCGCTGGACCCAGACACCCAGTCAACGTAGTTCCTCACATTTATATTTTCTACATATTTCCTCTTAGAATGAGCTTCTGCAACAGAGTAGCATAAGGGATTGAAGAAGTGCAACCTCTACCAGGCCTTTCTGCATTATCTGTGTGACCTGCGGTTTAATCGGTGGGCATTTTCATCTGCCTTTACATAGCCCGAGAGCAGCAATTAGCGGGACATGACACTACTGGACAAGGTCATCTGATACAACCGCATGACATGTAGGACTTGCAAGGGAAGAAGAACTCTCCCCCCCACCCTCTCTTTATGAATTGAGTAGACTTCTAAGCAAGTAGTCAGGGACTTTGGAGATACCTGCCTGTACTAAGCCAAGCTGGGTATTATGGTCCCAGCCGATAGCTACTTAAAAGTCCTCATTTGATGCTTGATTCACATGCTGACCTCCCTTTCCTTTGAATCTTTCCCTCTGATCTTCTCCCTATTGCTAGTTGAAGTCTAAAAGGCACTAAGAGCACTTGGGGGATGGTGGGATTATCTCTACAATATTCACTCTGTTCCTCTCTTAGCTACAAAGGGAGAAAATCGGCATCAAGAATGTCGCAATCCATATTCCTTCCCCCTTTTTATCACTTTTCCCTCTCAAGACTTTGTGATGCTGATCAAAGGAGCCATTTTAAAGTGGCCCCTTCATTCTCCCACCCTGCCTTTCCCCCCTTTCTTCTCTTGTCCATCATACTTAATATTAAACCACAAGAGAATGTTTGAGTTGGATGGGGCTGAAAGTGAACCAAGATTTTCACTGCAAGGCAAGGCTGTCCGCAGTCAGTTTCTGCATGACCCATAGGCAGAGAGCACAGCCTTACATGTTTGGGCCCCACAGTAGTCATCTTGTTTAGAAGGTCTGTGCTGATGGTAGGAAATCTGTAGCCCCACCCCCTAGACTACCACTCCTATCAGCCCCAGCCTCCACGGCCAATCATGGGTGATGGGAATTGGAGTCCAACAACATCTGGAGGGTCAAAGGTTCCCCACTCCTGGTCTACTCCATTCATAAAAGGGTGGGAGCCCTTAATGCAAATGATGCAAATTTGCATCATTGTGGATAAGAGCAAATAATGTGGGTAAGAGCAAATTTGCATCATGGGTTCCCAGAAGGTTCCCCACGAAGACATGCAGATATTGGCTGGGGAAAGGATCCCTACTCCAGTGGCAGCAGAGAGAGCTACCAACAAGCTTTCAATAGGAGATCCATCAGTATTGTTATTATAATATGTATTTATTATTATTTATATTTATTTATTACTATGTATTTTTTGTTTTTTATATTGTATTTTTATGTTGAGACCTGCCCTGAGACGGATGAAGGATGATATACAATTTTCAACAACAGCAGCAGCAACAACAATGGATGGTGATTCTAACACTGCTGAAATAGATATTGGCATCCTCACATGAGTGAGAAAGAGGAAGGATAATTACTAAATAAAATAACCTCTCCTATTCATTAAAATCCATCCGAAAGGTTGCATTTTCCAGTTGCCAGTGCTATCAATCCAATATGGAACTGGGTCAGTTGGAGGGATCCAACACAGAGCAGAGTCCACAGGTAGTATTCACTAGACACATAGCAAAAAGGGAATTTCTCCAAGAGAAATTGGGCATTCTCAACTATTATTCCTGTACATACATTATACATCTGAGGACCATGCACACCTGCCCTACAATGGACCTGAAATGTTGCATTTGTGGGAAACTTCGCAAGGACAATGTACTTTTTTTCTAATTAGGAAAAAGGCCCTAAAACGAAGAGTAGTTTTTTAAAAGCTCTCATGAGAATATTGACCTAATAAAGTATGAGAATAGATTAGAAAATCAGGACCTGCAACTGAAATATTGCAATCTGTTTTCGCGTCCTAATAGGGATGCTCTTATTCAAGGTGCCAGATAGCAATTCCCTCTTCCAGCATGCCATGCCATTCCCCCAAGTTACCAGTGTGGTGTAGTAGTTAAGAGCGGTGGACTCATAATCTGGTGAACCAGGTTCAATTCCCCACTCCTCCACATGCAGCTGCTGGGTGACCCTGGGCCAGTCACACTTCTTGAAGTCTCTCAGCCCCACTCACCTCACAGAGTGTTTGTTGTGGGGGAGGAAGATAAAGGAGATTGTTAGCCGCTTTGATACTCCTTCGGGTAGTGATAAAACAGGATATCAAATCCAAACTCTTCTTCTTCTTCTTCTTTTCCGACTGACACACAACATTCCATGGCTACCGAGCATGCTCAGTCCTCATTGGGCTAAGTCGTTCTGTTTTGGTTTAACTTTGCAAACCTTGGGTTTCTCAGAACCTGCTGACACATCTTTCATTTCCCCCCAGTGCTCCCATTTTGGCTCAATGTCTGTTGGCACTCCCTGCCCGAGTTCAGAGTTATTAGATTAGATTGCTAATCTAGCATTTCATGGCACCATCCAAGGTTCTGCCTTTTAATCAGCAATGCTTTTGCTATATCATTTTTCTGCTGTAGGTGATATCTTGCATTATGCTTGCACAGAAAACAACAGCAAGGTTAAGACAAGCCCTGCTGGATCAGACCCACCTAGCCTAGCATCTTGTTTCTAACAGTGACCAGCCAGATGCCTCTATGAAGCCCACAAAGCTTTAACTCTTTCCTCGCCAGCTGGACTAAGCATCTTGGCTTTACTAAAGCAGCTGGGCTCGTATTAAGGAGATTATTAACCTCACAGTCGGGGAGATTTTGTGAATGTCAGCTGTCTTGCATCTTATCTGCTGTGTAGGGAATTTGTCAGGTCCCAGCATTACGTCGTTGAAGTATTAGATATATCTTGATTGCAGGCATAATTGAGTTGTATCATATTAATAAAGTTCCATATTAATTCAGCGGCCGTGCTTCTGAGATTGCCAGCATGAGGAACGGTCCACCCACAAATTCACATGGGAAAAAGCCAGGGATTGTTTTAATGCTTAAAATTAGCACTTTCGCCTCTTGCTCTGACATTTTCTTCCCCCTCTTGCTTAAATGTGCGTGCTGGCTTTGAGCCACCCAAATCCCTTGGCAGGGTTGCTTTGTCTCAGATTGTCTTGATGAATTGGGAGTAAAAATGTTTTGTTTTGTTTTTTATCTTAATCATGCATTGAAATGAATGCACTGGGATTTTTTTATTTTAAAAATACAAAATCTGCTTAAGCTTAAGTGTCATTTAGTGTTAATTCTTAAACTATTGCTGAACAAGGCCCAAAAAAACTGGAAAAAAGAAGATTCCCTCTATTGCTGAAGCTGAGGAGTAAGTGAGAATCGTTATGTAGCCAAAATGGCACCACCCATGAATACAAGCTAGGAAACGAATCCTGCCCCTGCACAGAAAAAGGCTGAAATATTATATGCCTGGCTCACCCAGACCAAATAATGATAATAATAACAACAACAACTATACTATACTATACTCCAAAGTAGCCCAGGGCAGCAAACATAACTATAAAATATCTACAAACAATTAAAATAGAGAGGGAGACTAGGAAAGATCTTTACTGAAAATGCTTGTCTTCAGGATGTGCCAGGAAGACAACAGAGGCAGCAGCTGCCTAATCTTTAATGTGAGGGAGTTCATGCAAGATTTGAACATTCAGTGTGCAAGCCAGGGCCAGCCCAATACAGTTTATTGGTTGGTTGGTTGGTTGGTTGGTTGGTTGAGTTAGTATTGGGACCACCTGAGAAGGTGCTCTCCCCAGCTACGTAACAGGAACTCATTCTGCACATGATAGTATGAAATAGCACAAGTTCAGAACAATTAAAATTCTATACCAACTTGGGAGGGTGTTTACATTCCAATCCAACTAAGTTCTGCCTGGTGATACTGGACATTCAGCCTGTGTTGATCTGCAGAAGAGTATTTCACAAAGGTGAATTGTCAAAGAGCAAGGAATATTGATGGATGTATAAGGTTAAGATGCCATTATGATTCTGGATCATGATATTTCCAGTACCAGACTCCAAACTTACTACAGGAATATCTGTTCAATCTGATGTCAGTTTGGCTGCTTGCTGGGCTAGAAGAGATATTACACCTGTGAAGGTAAAAGGTAAAGGACCCCTGGACGGTAACGTCCAGTCAAAGGCAACCATGGGGTTGTGGCACTCATCTCACTTTCAGGTTGACGGAGCCAATGTTTGTCCACTGACAGCTTTCCAGGTCACGTGGCCATCATGACTAAACCACTTCTGGCGCAATGGAACACCGTGGCGGAAACCAGAGAGCACAGAAATGTTGTTTACCTTCCTGCCTATTTATCTACTTGCACTTGTGTGCTTTTGAACTGCTAGGTTGGCAGGAGCTGGAACAGAGCAACAGGAGCTCACTGTCACGGGATTTGAACCGCCAGCCTTCTGATCAGCAAGCCTGAGAGGCTCAGTGGTTTAGACCACAGCGCCACCCGCGTCCCTGTATGTTCATCTGAGAGGGTACTACAACAACCCAGGTTTAGGCCCTGGGAACTGGAGCACAGGACTTCTGCAATGGGGGGTTGTTCTTCATTGCATCTTTTAAATGATGCTCCAACGCTCTGAGGGCATCTGAGAGGAACCACAAAATGACACACACCCCCACCCTGCCACAGGAGAAGGGCAGAACGAAGGGTCACATCAGGAACAAAGGGGGAATAAAAATCTGCTTCGGGATCCACTGCCCAATGGATCCTATTGCCTGAGGTGGTCACCTCACCTTGCCTCATGGGAGGGCTGGACCTGGTGTGGGCTCCTATCTGCATGCGGTAATAGGAAGAAACAGGAAGACCAGAACAGCCTCTGCAAAGGGCATGCCTCTGAAGGCATGGATTCAACCATCCCTCAGCCATTCTTCTTCAGGTGCAGATCCTTTCCCTCAGGTTTTCTCCACCTGAGAAGTGGGAGTTTTGGAGGCACAGACTAGACTTGCTGACAGCTGTCCCAGTCTGTGCCTTCAATGGCTCCTAGTCAACAGCCAATGAGGAGAACCCAGAGGGCCCATCCACTACCTTCACACAAAACTTTGTTTTGTGGTGCCGAAGCAAAGACTCTTGCCTTGCTGCCCCAAGCCCACTTCTAGCAGTTGACTGAGCTGATGTGATGAAATGTTCATCAATGTAACTGCTGGGATGGGGAAAATCTTTCAGTGTTTTACAGGTGGATCTGTTATTGTGAGAAGAGAACACAGTCACTTAGCTTGGCAAGAGTCTCAAAAAGCAGCTGGCCAAGATAATCAAGGATCAATCTGGGTTGCTGGGAAGTGCAGGGAGGGGATATTGTTTTGTTTGTTATTATGGGATGTACTGGGGAGTGTTTTATATTGTGAACTGTCCAGTGATCTTCAGATGAAGGATGAGATATAGAAATTTAAAGAATATATTGAGCTATTAGATACCAGGCAGAAAGCATGGGGCAGGGATTGTGAGGGATTGCACAGAGTACAGATAACTGCAGCAGTTTTGGGGGAGCAGTTGGATTCGTGCAGAAACAAGCAGAGTTGGATCGCCTTATAACATCTCACAAATAAAGAGAAACACGGGATTCCATGTGAAGAGTTGTTGGGACTGATCTGGCAGGGAGGGTGTCATAGAAAGCTAAGAAGACTTACCCATCAAGAAGCGAGACAAGAACTTCATTGCATCTCTGAAGCACAAACCAAACAGCAGCAGGAGACTGCCTGTTCCACCCAGATACAACTAACTCCAGTGCCATCTATTGACACTAAAATATATAATGGCAGGAAGGAACATATGAAGCTGTATAATAGTGGGATAGATTGTTAGCCAGCCTTCTGTCTCTGACTGGCAGCAGCCTCTAATGTTCCAGGAAGAGGCCTTCCCACAGTCTACCATTTCAGATTGAGAACAAGTGCTTTTTGCAACTGAGCCAGAAGAACATCTCAAAAGGTATGCCAAAAAAAAGTAAGCGGGGCCAATGCAGCCTTCTCCATCCTGCCGATATGCAGTTTTCAACTACTGCTCCTATCAGCCCCAGCTAGAATGGTCAGGAGTTCTAGGAGTTGTAGTCCAAACCTTCTGGAAGGCACTAGTTTGGGAAAACATGGACCAGTCTATGGATGATAGGGCTGCTACCCGTCCCTAGAAAAACGAGATAGTCCTTTTCTTTCTTTCTTTTTTAGAGAAAAGTGTCCCCTGTCCTGTTTAGACTTCACACAGGATGCCTTTTTCATGTATTCAGGCTCATCCTCATCCTCATAACTGGGTGGGTATAGAGTGGGTCCGGTAGGAGGAGGTGTTTGAGAAAGAGAGTTTTTGTGCAGGGTGGGTTGTAGAGAGTGAGAGAGGGGGTTTGCAGTGCAAGGGCCTGCTACCATGGAGTCTTGGGTTTTATATAGGTAGGAGGTGTGCTGGGTGCATTGGGGAGCAAGAGGGAGTGGGTTGCAGCAGCACAGGTCTGTTCCAGTGCTGGTGGAGAGAGATTTCTTTTAGCACTTGCAGAAGGGGCAGGTGGTCGGACTTGGAGTGCAAGAGATAGGGTTGGCCAATGCGCTTGCTCTGGTGGAGAGCAGAAGAGTTTGCAATAAAACACTATAGCCCCCATGTGCCATTGTAATGGATTGCTTTGAAGTAAAGTAATTTTTAGTTCCTTAATTTCCCCCCAACCTGTCCCATATTTTGCCTCACTTTTCCTTTATTATGCCCAATGAAAGGTGGCAACCCTAATGGGTGATGTTTAGCTAACTTTTGCTCAGAGCAGACCTATTGAAATTAATTGACCCAACTTATTCATGTAAATTGGGATGTGGGTTTACCTTTACCTTTTATTCATGTAAATTAATTTCAATGAATCCACCCTGAGTAAAACCACAGAGCCTAGGACTTGCCAATCAGAAGGTCGGTGGTTCGAATCCCCGCAACGGGGTGAGCTCCCATTGCTCTGTCACTGCTCCTGCCAACCTAGCAGTTCGAAAACACATCAAAGTGCAAGTAGATACATAGGTACCGCTCCGGTGGGAAGGTAAGCAGCGTTTCCGTGTGCTTAGAAGCGGCTTAGTCATGCTGGCCACATGACCCGGAAGCTGTACGCCAGCTCCTTCGGCCAATAAAGTGAGATGAGCACCGCAACCCCAGAGTCAGCCATGACTGGACCTAATGGTCAGGGGTCCCTTTACCTTTACCTTTTATTCATGTAAATTAATTTCAATGAATCCACCCTGAGTAAAACTTAGTTTATACCACCTCGTATCTGTTTATGGCAGGTATCGTGAGCTGCCAACCTGCAGTCGAAACAAAATTTAAAAAATTCCTTCCAGTAGCACCTTAGAGACCAACTAAGTTTGTTATTGGTATGAGCTTTCGTGTGCATGCACACTTCTTCAGAACCAACCTGCAGGCTTTTGTCTGCCCCCTGTCTCTGCTGGCAACTTTGTTGGCCCCGAAAGCACCAACCAATTTTTTCTGCAGTGAGTGGCATCTAAGTCCAGCCCATGGCAACAATCGGAAGGAAAATTGCATCCTTTCTGCTCTTCAGATGATCAATCTGAAGAGCAGAGAGGACCCTTGAGAGGTATTCTAGTGTGGCTGCTATCAATGTAAGCTAGAAGATCACTTGTTAAGCACTCACCTTATCCACAAGCATGCTAAGTGGCCTTCAGTAAGCCACTACTTGCGATCAGCATCAACACTTGGTACCCCAGGCAGTTGCTGATGCCCTTGTACCCTAGCAGGGTTCACAGTAGCTGATACCTTCCCTTTGGGCTTCCCATCAGCCATCGTGGTCACCAGTGTACCATTTTGATTTCCCTTGGGTTACACCACATCAGGCACTCTCGGGCATCATGGGAAATCAAAATGGCAGCTCCCAAGCACTCATGGAGTACAGCTGCCACCACCATGTAAATCCAGGAGGACCAGTTGCTGAAAACCATGGGGAGATGGCTCTTGTGTTCATGTTCTGCTCTTGTGTTTCCCACCGACATCTGGCTGGTCATTGTGAGAACAGGATGCTGGTCTAAATGGGTCACTGGCCTGATTCAGCAAAACTCTTCTTATGTTCCTATCAACCTAAGAGGGGGTTCATCCACCAAGGGATAGTTTACACATGGCCCCTTCAAACCCAGAGCCAGCCTGGACCACAAATTCTCTGCCTCAGACACCTATCTACATATTGTGATCCACAATGCAAGCTTATCTGACAGGGCTCTCACAAGGAATATTCTGTTAGTTACAGTGTTTGTGTCATCACCCTCCAACATTTCTCCGATGAAAATAGGAAACTCCTACTGAGTAAAAGTGGAATATTTCGGGATCAAATCAGAAACTGGGACTGCTTCTGGGCTTCTGTAAAACTTGGACTGTCTCTGGAAAATGGGGACTCTTGGAGGGTATGTTATGTGCTGTGTTTCTGACTGGAATCAATGGCGTCTCCCCCTGTCTCAAATATACAGGACATAGCTCAGTGAAGTACCTACTTGGCTTGCAGAAAGACTCTGGTTCAATCCCTGGCGACTGCAGGTAGGGCTGGGAATTACCTCTGTCTGAAACTCTAGACAACTACTGCCAGTCCATTGCTGACAATACTCAGGGTTGCCATACATCTGGGAAATCCCAGAAATGTCTTTTTCTGGGGGGGCCTACATGCCCATCGGGGGGGGATTTTTACAATTTTAAGCAATGTCTGGGTCTTGGGAGTGGGGGGAGGGCTTAAAAAAATGTCTCACGCAGGCAGTTCAGGCTCAGATGCCAGCGGGGGGTCCCCAGGCTCTATCTCAGGCTCTGTCTCTGTTTCTCTGGCTCAACAACTTTTTTGTCCAGATTTTTACCTCTGGAAATATGGCAACCCTGCAATGCTGAGCTACTTGGACCAAGAGTCTGGCTCCGTACAAGATGGTTTCCTATGTTCCATAGGATGACAACACTTTGAACCCAGTTTTCTTACCATTCAGATATGACAGCAGTATAAATATGATAGGTAAAGGTAAAGGGACCCCTGACCATTAGGTCCAGTCGTGACTGACTCTGAGGTTCCGGCACTCATCTCGCTTTATTGGCCGAGGGAGCCGGCATACAGCTTCCGGGTCGTGTGGCCAGCATGACTAAGCCGCTTCTGGCGAACCAGAACAGCGCACGGAAACACTGTTTACCTTCCCATCGGAAGGTAACTTTTATCTACTTGCACTTTGACGTGCTTTCAAACTGCTAGGTTGGCAGGAGCAGGGACCGAGCAACAGGAGCTCACCCCATCACGGGGATTCAAACCGCCAACCTTCTGATCAGCAAGCCCTAGGCTCTGTGGTTTAACCCACAGCACCACCCATGTCCCTTATATAAATATGATAGCAACATGCAATTCACCTTATTTATTTAAAACCTCCATGCCACCCTTCAGTTCCTAATTTCCCAAAGTTGATTTACAGTGGCTCATAAACACAGCCATGGCCAACCAACGGTAGAGCACAATTCATATGCAAATCTCTCCTGCAAATAAAGTTCAGAGAAGTGAAAAGAGGAAAGAGTCACACTAGTTTCACTGGAGAGATAACTCCACAGCTGTGGTGCCACCACTGAAATGGCCATTCCCTAGCAACTGCCTGCTTCTTTCACAGGGAATCTGGGGCAGGGTTTCTAACGGTGACCTAAATGTCTCAGGAGATTGACATGTGGAAAGAAGATCCTTCAGATTACTGAGATGGTGTAAGTGGACTGCTTTGCACATTTCCATTGAGCTATACAAATGCAAAGTATTATTATTTCATTCCAACTGAATTACACCTGTCTCAATAAAAGGAAGATAGGCAAGGTGTTCCTTAAATACTATCCCAGATGTAGGGTTCTATTATTCCCTGATTAAACTGTTTGTATGTGTAAAGATTCCCCCTCCTCTAAATAAAATAAAATACTGCTTTTCTTTCACTGCCTCCATTTCCCTTTTAGCAATTTTTTAGTGTTTTTTGTACCAGGTACAAAATGTGATTGCTACATTTACAATATTCTTTTAAAAGCTTCCTCTGTTTGACAGCCAATTCCCCCCCTTCTCCCCAGTTGCTTTGGGCAGTCACTTTGCACAGTATTCATTTTTCCTGTATTTTTATTCTTAAAAAAAAAAATAGCAGCATATATTGGCATCCCCATTGGCAAATGGTTACTATCAGTGCAGACAGTGACAGACATTTAATTGTGTGATTTATTGTGTCTCTCTGTAACCGCAGATTCCTTTACAGTTCATACATCTATAAATGAGATGGTGCAACAGTTTTAGATTATCCCACTGTAACACGAAGGCTTACACATCAAGCCTTAAACTGACAAACACCATTTAAAAGCGGGGTGGAGGGGGAGAGATTCCGATAGGCCTGCCGTTATCTGTTCCGTTATCTCATTCGAAAATAATATACTCTCCTTTATCAGGATCTTTGTGATGGAAATGTAAAGCTATGACGTATGCCTCTGCACCGCTGCTGCTTTCCGAGGGGGATAAGCCACATTCTTCTTTCTCCGCCTCTGGGTCCATAGAAATGCAAGCTTGCGCCGTCTCAAATGCTATAGGAGTATAGCATCTAGATCAAGGGAAGTAATAGTGCCACTGTATTCTGCTCTGGTCAGACCTCACCTGGAGTACTGTGTCCAGTTCTGGGCACCACAGTTCAAGAAGGACACTGACAAACTGGAACGTGCCCAGAGGAGGGCAACCAAAATGGTCAAAGGCCTGGAAACGATGCCTTATGAGGAATGGCTAAGGGAGCTGGGCATGTTTAGCCTGGAGAAGAGGAGGTTAAGGGGTGATATGATAGCCATGTTCAAATATATCAAAGGATGTCACATAGAGGAGGGAGAAAGGTTGTTTTCTGCTGCTCCAGAGAAGCGGACACGGAGCAATGGATCCAAACTACAAGAAAGAAGATTCCACCTAAACATTAGGAAGAACTTCCTGACAGTAAGAGCTGTTCGACAGTGGAATTTGCTGCCAAGGAGTGTGGTGGAGTCTCCTTCTTTGGAGGTCTTTAAGCAGAGGCTTGACAACCATATGTCAGGAGTGCTCTGATGGTGTTTCCTGCTTGGCAGGGGGTTGGACTCGATGGCCCTTGTGGTCTCTTCCAACTCTATGATTCTATGATTCTATGATTCTATGATTCTATGAAATAAAGACTTTTAGCGTGAGCTGCAATTATTGGCATGCAGCCCATGTGTTTTTCCCTACATCAAGGATGGGGAACCTGAGGCCCTCCAAATGTTGTTGGACTTCAATTCCCATTGTCATGAACTGGAAGGACAATGGGGTGGTGAGGAAGATCTCCGCAAGGGGTGTAGTTGAGACTGGGACACCCGGGGCAAGCCGGGGATGGGAAAGGATGGATTGGGTTTCTGGAAAATAGATATGGGATGGCAGAGGATGGCGAGGGGATGGGGTCAGCATGCAGGGACCAGAAGAGGAGGACACCTTATCAAAGCCAGAGAGAGACCCGCATCTCCATGAACAAGGTGGGCTCTAAGGTGTTGGGAGCAGTGGCAGAACAAACCAATCAGGCACCTGGGGTAGGACACATACCCTGGACCCAGAGGCAGGGCCAGCCAGGGAAGGACGCTCTGCAGGTCCTCCAAGGAGTCCGCCTGCCTCCTCCACTCAGCTGCCCTACAGCTGAGGGGGAGGCGGCAGGCAGATAGTTTGGGGCAGCAGGGAAAGACGCGTGGCTCAGGCACGCTGCAGGCCCTGCAGTGAGTGCCACCCAGCATTTTGTCCCTCCTCAATGGTGACACCCGGGGCGGTTTGCCCCCACCACACACCCCTTCTTCCACCCCTGGTTGGGAGTAGTGGGAGGGACATTCTGGGAGGCTGAGGCAGGCAAAATCCCAGGTCAGGGGGAAAACAATGCTGCTCAGGGTTGTAAAGACTGCGGAGAGAATAATCGGGTGCACTCTTCCCACCTTGGATCAAATCTATGCTTCCAGGTGTCATAAGAAAGCTGCAGAGATATGCAGGATAGTGCACACCCTGGATATGATCTCTTTCAGCTTCTGCCTTCTGGAAGAAGGTACAGGGTTATAAAGACTAGGACCAGCCGCCTGAGAAACAGTTTCTATCCAAATGCGATTTTGGTTTTGAACGCAGTGTAAGGTAGTCTCTGCGGGAGTATATTGTATTTAATTATGGGGTGTCAGAGTTTTTGGGGGGTTAACCAGGCTGGGATAGCTGGGATAGCAGGCTTGTTGGTTTTTGAATGTCTGATGTAGATTTCTTCAATTTTGTTGTTCTGCATGAGACAATGACAATAAAAATTATCGTATCGTATCACAGCTCAGGGAGGAGGTGTGTGATTCTTCATCTGGAGCATGCTCTGTTAGGATATTTCCGTTCCACCTTAAAAGGGAGCAGGCTGTGAGTCACAGAGTCTGCGTATTTCCTGTTCACAGGATGTTTATGTTTTCTGTTGCTTTCGTTTTCTCTCTGTGTCGTAGACACTAAAGCAGGCAGTCATGTCTTTCTGTGTTCTGATCAACGCTGAATAAACTTGTAAATAATGCTCTCCTGATTGCAACTTTTGGCTGTGCATTATCTGCTGACAGAGTGTGCATGAGCTCTAGAATGTGGCAAGATATTTTCTAGAAACTCATGTCGCTAATTGCTGATACTGCGTGTCTACGGGAGATCGATGGATCGTCCGGCAGCCGGCTTGGGGGCCATGATGGACTTTATCTCCCTGGCAGTATCCCAACATGCTCAGAACAGGTGAGGGTCACAGGCCTCATCCAGCCCAGATGCTGCAATCAACATGCAAGGTATAAAAGGGAAGCAGAGCTGAGGGGCTGGGACTGCTCAACTCCCCATGTTGATGGCATGGGTGTAAGCAGGATTTATGCTGGGGGGGGGGGCAGAACCTCAGTTAGTTAAGTATTTGCACTGATTTACTTGATGGGGGGAGCGGCAGCAATCTATATTGAGGGTATATCTGCAACAGAGACGTGGAATTTCAGTGGCAGTTTCCCTCTGTTTGGTATTTGTTAGCCGGTCACCTGCTTACAAACTATTTTTAAGTGTTGCCAGCCTCATAAGAAATGAAACATCAAAGTAGATTTCATCACATTGCTAGTTGAAGCCAGCGATATCTTATGGAAAATCACTAGAGCACACGTATTAAAGGACTTCAGGGGAGATAGATTAGAGAGCAAAACCCAAGGTACAAAGGCATTTTGGACACATTATGCATTTCTGGAAGAAAATCTGGAAAAGGCATACATTTTTATGAACTTTTTGTTCATTTGGCACAAAGAATTTGCTGATTTATTGAAGTCAATGCATGTAGTTTTCTGCCTCCTGTTTCCCTTTCCTCCAACTCACTTCTCCTTTATCTACCCTTTTGTCAGATTCTTATCTCTTAGTCACTGACCTATTCTGCCTCTTCCCTCAGCCACACTGCTTTTGGACACCTTATCCCTTAGCTTCTGTATCTGAGGTTCCTGCTTCCAGGGGGTTGGATTGGATGACCCCTGGGGTCCCTGCCAGCACTATGACTCTATGATCTTCTTGGGACACTCTCCTGTCTCCCCACCCCCACCCCCCACCGGGCCCAGTTCTCAGCCAGCCCATCTTTTGAACCCATATGAAGTTTTCATCCCAGCCATACTGGCAACTTTCTATTGCCTCAGAGAAAGTGGACTGCAAACATTCCACACCACAACACCATTCAGTATCCAAGCCTTCACCACCACAAGTGCAACACAATATAGAATCTATATTACATTATAGACTAATCTCAGAATGACTTTTCTATTTTTCTCTTGCTCCCCAAGTGCAATGTTTACTCCTGACTAATGTATCAACAGTAAATCCTGTAGCCAGCAATTATGCAATAAACAATAAAGGAAAATATAAATAAATGTTTGAACAATCTCATAATCTTTCTCTTAGGCACCACAAATTATCCAGCCCAACAGAGCAAGTTCCTCACAATCAAAATGGTGAACTCGATTCTGACCTCACCATTATTTAAATCGCAAGGCATGTCGATTGTCTACACCTGATTTACATAGCTGTAAAACCAGAGAAGCAGTCATCAGAATATGACCCAAAATTGTTTCTGTTTTTATACACAGGAGAAATAAAATCCACTTAATGTTCCACCCCAGGGATTATTTTAATATAGTCAAGTGATGTTTTTGTGTCTTTGGTTAATTGAGGACATCTCTGTGGAGTTTTGTTAATATTCTTTTTATTCAGACATCAACATTTCCCAATATTTCCATCTATCTACTTTTCAACAAATAAGATTATTTCCCAGATTGGACCAATCTATGGCTCCTCCCCACCCACTGTAGTCAAATACAAATATTCAAGTCATAGCTTTCCTTCACAATCTACTTTGCATTACCTCTCCAGCTATGTGAAAGCAATCTTTTTCCACTTAGACCAATGTACCCAAGGGGCCAAAAGACAAATCCTGTTTGTTTACATGATCTGCATGCATTTATGATTATTTGAAATGACATACATCAGTATTGGCTGGCAGGATTCAGAAAAGAGAACATGCTGATTGGATGAGTGTATAGTTAAAGGGTTGATGCTTTTGAATTATGGTGCTGGAGGAGACTCTTGAGAGTCCCATGGACTGCAAGAAGATCAAACCTCTCCATTCTTAAGGAAATCAGCCCTGAGTGCTCACTGAGTGCTCACAGATCCTGAAGCTGAGGCTCCAATACTTTGGCCACCTTATGAGAAGAGAAGACTCCCTGGAAAAGACCCATATGTTGGGAAAGATGGAGGGCACAAGGAGAAGGGCACGACAGAGGACGAGATGGTTGGACAGTGTTCTCGAAGCTACCAGCATGAGTTTGACCAAACTGCGGGAGGCAGTGGAAGACAGGAGTGCCTGGCATGCTCTGGTCCATGGGGTCACGAAGAGTCAGACACGACTAAATGACTAAACAACAACAATAGTTAAAGGGTAGCCAAACATGGCATCTATCTAGTAGACTGGAGTTGGTCTCGGGAGATCCAAGTTCAAATCCCAGCTGTGAAACTCTATGTGACATTAATAATAATAATAATAATAAATTTTATTTTTATCCTGCCCTACCCGGCCAAAGCCGGGCTAACAAAGAGCGGCTAACATCATATAAATAAGACAATATGCATAATACAATATACAATATGCAAATAACATTCAACATTCATTAAAATAATATAGAATAATATTAAACACCAGCATTTCAGGATTAAACAGGAATCCACTCTTAACAGTTACAATAAGCGATTTCTGAACTCTATTCAATAAAACAACAGCAAGCCACAGTGCACAACATAATACAAGACAAAATGAGAACCAGAGACTGGAGGGTGGGGCAAGGCAGGTGGAAGGAGGCTTTGCCTAATGGAGTTTCTCCCCTCGCAGTTCTTCCTCCAGGCACAGCTTGCTTATGAGGAGTCCCGGGGCCAGGGGGTGGGGCAAAGCAGGTGGAAAGAGGGTCAATCACAACACTTATGAACTGGAGATATATGAGCCTCCCATGGCTTATGTTAAATTGGGTCAAAAATAAACCAAGCACCATAATCTCCTCTACCAGCTTCCCAAACCACCTACCCCAGGCTTTCTCAACCTCAGCCCTCCAGATGTTTTTGCTCTACAACTCTGATGATCCCTAGCTAGCAGGACCAGTGGTCAGGGATGATGGGAATTGTAGTCTCAAAACATCTGGAGGGCTGAGGTTGAATAAGCCTGATCCTACCCAGTATGAACTGGGCCACAAGTGAGTTCAGCAATATGAGCACGTCTGCGAAGGATAAAATGAGACCAGCATGATCTCATTTGAATCCAAAAATCTGCAGTTAAGGATTGGATTTTGATCCAAGATTCACACCTTTTGATTTATTTATTTTTAAAGTGCATTGATTGTCACATTACGTTTTTACATAGTAATGATTATAGCATGGTATTTTTTTTTTTTTGAAAAAGAATGTGACAAGCCATGCAAGCACTTTATATCTAGCAAGTACCAGAACCAGGAAAACAATTTTATTGGATTTAGCCATATGCACACATTTACTTAATGATCCTTACAACGGCGCCTTTCCACTCTAAGTACAGTTTGCAAAATCACTTGCGACACTCTTTTCTTAAGGCAGAGGAAGTAGCCACAGGGGAGTGGGGTGGGGGATGTAATGAAGTCATTTTGTTTTCTATGGAAGGAAAGTAAGGCACCATTCTGACTATTTCCAAGCAGCGGGGAAACACTTCATAAAGGCATTGCCCCCCGCCCCCAACTCCTGTAAAAATGATGTGTGCAGCAATCAAGCATTTCAGGAGAGTCAATGGATGTGATTGAGAGTCAATGGTCATCAGCGTTGCTTCTTGGGCTGTGTTGTCATGGCAAGGGAATCAAGCATAGCAGTTGACACTACAGAATGGTCACTATCAGAGTGGATTGAGAAGCAGAGGAGAGGACTTCAAGTTAACACTTGTTTAGCACTAAGGGGTGTTAAAAGCATTTGCATGCCTTATATCTTGGTAATCCTCACAGCAAGCTAGTAAGGTAGCAATTCACAGTGGGGCAGCCTGTTGACCAGTTACTGGAGGGGAGGAGACCCACAAGGGTACACAAAGATGCTCAAAATTATTATTATCTAGGCTCAACACATTTCAGCTGAAACCTTTGCCAGGTGTATTGGGTGATATCTAAGTCAAGGATGGGGAACCTGTGGACTTGCAGATGCAGTTGTTGGACTGCAACTCCCATCAGCCTCAGCCACCACGATCCATGGGCAGGGATGATGGGACCCTGCCCAAGAACATCTGAAAGGTCACAGGTTTCCCATCCAGTGGGAAAGTCCATTGATTTCAATGGGTCTGTTAGGAGTACGAGTAATGCTGAGTTTCACCATTGTAAAATAGATTTTAAGAAATAAAATAAAGGCCTCCTCCTTCCCACCCTTTCTTCTTTTCCACCCATGGCCCCATTTAGCTCCTGACAGCAGCCACAATGAGATGCTTCCCACACTGAACAGATGTCATCTGAAAAGCCTAATCAACAAAGGATCTGTGTGGTTGCAGAGGTGTATATAGAGTTTGATGGAATTATTCTGAAAGATCACCAAGCAAGGTGCAATTTGTTGAAGACGACTTATCATCAGCAGAGCTTATGGCATTCTTAGTATCCTCTTCCAAAAAGGAAAAGAAAGAAAGAAAGAAAGAAAGAAAGAAAGAAAGGCAAACTGTATCATCCCTTCAATTTAAAGTATGTATGTTAGAGAAGCTTTGTCACAAAGCAGGATGAATGGAATGTTATATATCAGGTGTGCACTGGCAGGGGCTGATGGGAGTTGGAGTCCAGGTTTTGGAGGCTACCATATTGGTTACCACTATTGTATACCATGAGATCACATGTCCCATGCCAGTTGAGTCATGAAGCATGCTTAGAGAGGCAGAAATAGATTCTGCTAAACTCACCAGCACAAACAGGAATGTTTTTTTGTTTTACAGATGTACCACCTCAAAATCGGGGGGGGGGGGGGAGTCCACTGAAATGTCATTTCTGACTGTTAACTTACTCATAAAACTGCCAGCACAAAAAGCAAATCTATTCACATGAATGTGTAGCATAGGAAGATACAGCAGCAATAGAGCTAGACTTCAGCTAAAAGCTCAGTGTCATTTCCCAGATGTGCACAGTCTCCTTTTAATCTAAGTCATAAGAGAACTTCTCTGGGAAACGGCATTTGAGTTACAATACATCTGAGCACTACAAGCTTGGGCACATTTATATTTCTAACCAAGTAATTCTGAACTACTGAATAATTCTGAACTCTAAAGAAGCAGAACCAAAGCAGACCAGCTGGGATGTTTGGTCTGGAACGGGTTTTTTGCTGAGCAGAGCTCAACAGCTGACTACTGGATAAACCCACCACTGTTCCCTTCACTAATGCTAAGGCAATGGCAAAGCAACTGAAAATGAAGAGGCAATAATATTGGCACAGGAAGGATGGGGTAAAATCAGGCCACTCAAAGATAACAGGGGAATTTAGATCTTAAGAACCAGATGAATTGATATAGCCATTCAGGAATATCATTGGCATAGTTCATTAAGACTTTCCTCCATTGCAGTACAATAACTGATAAGTCAGATCCATCTACCAGCCTTTATGAGATGGTTATAGATGATGCAGACAGCTACAGAAAGGAGAGGATGATGAAAACTCTAGAATATTATTGTAAAGCAGTAAAAGGTAAAGGTAAAGGGACCCCTGACCATTAGGTCCAGTCGCAAATGACTTTGGGGTTAAGGCGCTCATCTCGCTTTACTGGCTGAGGGAGCTGGTGTACAGCTTCCGGGTCATGTGGCCCGCATGACTAAGCCGCTTCTGGCAAACCAGAGCAGCACATGGAAACACCGTTTACCTTCCCGCCAGAGTGGTACCTATTTATCTACTTGCACTTTGACGTGCTTTTGAACTGCTAGGTTGGCAGGAGCTGGGACTGAGGAACAGGAGCTCACCCCATCACGGGGATTCGAACCGCCGACCTTCTGATCAGCAAGCCCTAGCCTCTGTGGTATAGACCACAGCGCCACCTGCATCCTCCTTGTAAAGCAGTGGTGGAGCTCAATTAGAATCATGACTTGGTGCCAATCCCAATGAATATCTGATCATTTCAGAAAAGCTAATGAGCCTCCTATTGGATGGAATACATATTGCAGAACCAAAACAATGCCAGCCACTATATCTACAGATTCTTTTCCATACTCCCCTGTACCGATCTCAGGTTGGGATTCACACAAACACATTTGTTACTTTATGCCTGTGACATTGAAGAGGTGATTTGTAAAAGAGGCATGGCACCTCCAACAATGTGAGCAGAACTTTCACACCTGACATCACCTCAAAACACACAGTACTTCTCAATGGAGGCAATTCACACATCCAGCTGAATGTCATTGAGTGATAGGTTGCCAAATGATGAGCTATTGAGTGATATAAAACGCAAGTGTGAGTTAGCCATCAATAGTGGCATCCACCTCGTGAGCTGCAGATCTTGTTTAATTAGAAGACTTACTCAGTTCAAACTCCTACAGACATCCAGGGAAGGTTTTGTTACATCCGCAAACTGGAATGTCTCATACGATGAGTAGGGTAACTTTTTACATAGCTCTATGCTGACTAACATCTCAGTCCAAAACACAAGCCCAGAAATTAAGATTGGATCATTAAACTCCAACTGAGGCAGCTGGTACTCAAGAAAACAGGAGATCTGAACACAGCTCAGATCATAAAGATGAACAACTCTGTGGAAGTAAACAGTGAAACTCTGTTCTGCTCATCCCACATATTAAGTTTAATTTCAAAGGAACTCTTCCAAAAACCCAAACCCTGAAGGTCCATTATTACTGCAATTGAATCTTGTAGCAGGCTTGTAGACGTCTCTGAAACTGTTACTCTGGAGCAGGTGGCTTTAGGATTGCAGGGTTAATGGTGCATTTTTTGTTCTTCTTTCTCACAACAATAAAGTGAAACTGCCTTACTAGAATTCCCATTTTACAGATTGGAGTTTGTGACCAATAAATAATGACCAGCTTCTCCTGCCATGCACCCACACCCCAAACCACCCAATTTGAACCTATGTCTACGTCACAGAGTAGTCCTGCGCCGCCCCTGTGGCATAATGGGGTGGGATCCATGCTCTTCTCTAAGCAGCACAAGCCCCAACTTTCCGGCAACGTTAAACAGAATGCACGATGGCTTGCCCAAGTCGTACAACACGTGTGGCAGCTCCCGCCACTCCACAACACAAAGGGCAACTCTTCCTGCGTGTGAAATGGATGCTATGACAGACCACTGTTGATTTATATTGCACCACTTGCCGAGAATATGATTGCTCTCCTGCCCAGACACCAGGAGGTTCTCTGGCAAGGCGATGCATCCCGCTCTTTGACTCTGCACCATAATAAGGAAGTGCGGAAGGAAAAGGGATTAAGGGTAAGAACAAGCGGGGATCTTCCTTCCACTTTCAGACAAAGGGGTCCTGGGCATTCACTTCCCCCTGAACCCCGAAGTACCCACTCTATTGTGCGGCACGTAGGTTTCCAGGAAAGGGTTAAATGCAATCCGTAAATGCAGGGGGTGTGATTCCCCCTCACAAAAAAAATCCGATCATTTCTTTATCGTCTGCATTTCCAAACTGCAGAGCGGAGCACACCCAGTCATGCTCAGGACCCTGTGTGCACCAGACACTCTCGCTTCTGGCCCGCGAAATGGATGGAACCTCGTTTGTGTGGCTCGCCTGTTCATTTGTGTTTTGTACGGAAGCATCCTTTAGGCACCTTGGAAACAATAGGAAGGGAAGCGGAAGAGAAAGGACTGTGTGAAAAGGAGAAAATAACGTTTATTTCTCTTGTAACGCCAACGCTGAGCCGTGCTCATTTTCGGAAAGAAAGTTTAAAAGGAAACACACACGCGAATCTTGCATCTCCAAAGCAGCGCTGTGCTTTAGCTAGAAAGGGGGTAAAGGACAAAGCTACATTGTGCCGCAGATCTGTAAGCCCTTTGTTACCCATCAACAAAGTCTTTAAATGCCCTGCTGAATGGGAATTTCACCAAGCGGCAAACTGGCTACTTGGCCTTAATAAGGGCACCTCCTACTGGTCCTTTCATGGAGCGAAATCCTGCTTTCTTTCTGATCAGTCCCCTGCTAGGATGCTGAAGGGGGAGAAAATAGCTCCCGGAGGAGGGGAGGGGGAGACATTCAAGCAGATGAGCGGCTTGCCTTTGGCCTCTGCCCATTCAAGTGGCGCCCAAAGCTGCGCGTAAAACAAACAGCCCTGGGCCAAAATTTGCCTACAGGTGAAACGAGGGGAGAGGGAAAGTTTGCCTGGTCTTGACGTACAGAAACCCAGCAGCAGCAGCCCTGCCCCGTTGCCCCAGCAGTCAAGCATGCACAGAAAGCGTGGGCCACAAAGGCAAGAGGAGAAAGACCCCAGTAGCAGCAGCAGCAGCAGGGAGCCAAACATGCAACGCCAGTTCCTCCGAGGCGGCGAGCAAAACGTTCCTCCGAGGCGGCGAGCAAAACGTACCACCAAAATCCACAGCAAGAAGGACCGCCTTTCATGACTCCCCTTTTCACTCCCGAGCACCACAGCGTGCTACACCTCTTCTGCTCGTCCTATAACCTGACCCCATCCTCCAGTGCCTTCCCCGTACGCAGATATGTGTACATATACCCGCACCCACCCAGCCATTTCTGCCCACAGCCGGCAAATATGCTTTGCAAGTCCATCATCTTTTCAGAGAAAGAGCATCACACCAACATGTTTCCATGCGCCATCCGTTCAGTCGGGAAATCGGGAGAGACGCCTATTCATTACCCCATTCTGGCTGTCTCCAGCGCGCCTTGTGTGTGCATAGCGCACAGACACGCACGCGCGCGCGCACCAAAAGAAATGAGCCTCGATGCATTTAAAAGGAGCTTCTTACGGTTCACCTGTTAAGCCTCAGACAATCAACGGAAGCGTTATCTTTCTCGGGCCCCTTTAAAGGATGCCATTTCAAATATTTGCAAGTGACCGAATGACATCGGAGCAGAGTAAACTTTTCATTTTGCATTAGGCTGAAATGTTGAATTTTTGTACATTGGTGGGGGGGGTGTCATGTTCGCTTCTGTTCTGGGTGGGGTGGGGTGTGGGGAGAGAAATCAGCATGCATTGTTCATCAGTGGCTTATATGACACTCCTAAGGTATGGCTGGATTTGTAGAACGTGATCCGCTCCTTCCTAGATTGCCTGCTAATGAAATGCTACTGTTGATCATCCAAAGCCAAGCAAAGGATCGTTGGAAGCGAACATCCCCCCCCCCTTGCCATCACACACCCGTCCCCAAGCCCTATTCGCTGCAAATGGCACCACTACTTTCCTCAACACTTCCTGAGAAACCTCTCGTTTCATTCCAGGGTTTTATTTTATTTTATTTTATTTACCCTGTTCTTTCATCTCCAGCTCTTCCCAGTCTCCTGAGAAACGCTGAACAACACCATATCGCTTCCCTCTTCTCTCCGATTCAGTAACGCGACCAGCTTTCCCATTTTTAATTAGAAAAATGTGTCTGCCAAGTGCAAAGAGAGGCGTGCCCTCCAGAATATCAATCAAATGGAGTTTGGAGACACTCTACGTGAAATGTTTCCTTTTTTCCTGCACACTCTACCTTACGGACAACCTCTTGCATTCAACATAACAAGAGGAACAACAAGCCAAAAAACACACACCCCACAATTTCTAAGGCTGGTGATCTCTCAGCCCAGAAGAGCAAACCACTAAGCAGAACAGAAAAATCACACCATCATCACTTTCTGCTGTATTTCCCTTTCGATTGGAGGCGTCCTTCCATCCTGACTGAATTATCCTTAATAAAGACCAAAAGAGGATCTTCTTAATGGACTTCCCTGCCCAAGTCTCTCGCAAAGCTCACAGCAACTCATCCAGCTAGAAGGCTGTTCAGACAGCAAGAAATCACAAATCTGCAAGCATCTGTTTGAACTGTCCTGCTTCATCCATTAAAGCCAAAAGGAAGAAGGGAAAAGCAGGAGGAGGGTTGGAATAAACCCACAAATGACTTACCAGTGACTGTAAGGTCCAGAGTGATGACAAAGATCCCAAACAGCAGGAAAGCCAGCTTTGGTACCCAAACACATCCAAGGCTATTCTCCATATTTCAACCCACACCTAAGCGATATTTGGGTCCGGATCACACAGGCAACAATCCCGGCACGTCTCCACAAACCGCTTCGGTCTCCTCCCTTTTCGATGGGGTGGTCGTGGGGTTCCCGTAGCTCTCCCCCCCCTCCACGGGCAAGGTAAGTGGGTCGGAAGGCAGAAAAAGAAAAAGAAAAAGTTAAATGTAGTCCCCAAGCCAGGAAATGTCCAGAAACTAACGAGGAAAAAGAGGTGAGGAGAGGAAAGGGTCTCCCAGCGTTTGAAAACCATCCATAGGCGCGCGCGCATACAAAAATCCTGCAAAAAAATCAAAAAGCCAAGGAAGGCGCATCAAAAGCATCGGGGCTGCTCCATCTCTGCTGGTGTACAAAGTAAAACGCAATCAGAAACGCCAACGATCCCGTGCAAGACCAAACAGCTGGGCTAGTATTGGTAATAGTGTTATTATTCCTCCTTCTTGGCTCCGCAGATGTTCGCTGCGGGGAGGGTGGCAGAGAGAGGGGCGGAGAAGGGGAAAGGATGCGATGGTCTCTCACTTGTTACTGGTGCTGTCCACCAGCAGTATGTGAGAGGGAAGAGTTAGAGCTGTAACGTCCATTGATCCGGAGAAGTGGAGGGCTGGGAGGGAAAACGTGGAGAGCGGAGAGAGACGCCGACTGGATCGGGGGAAGAAAAGACTCTGCTTGGGGAGCGCGAGCGAGCGAGAGACAGACTGACGAGAGGGAGAGAGAGAAAAAGGCAGTCTGCTTTGCCTCCAGCAGCTGTATTTGCTGAGCCTACATATGAATGAGCAGGGATGCCCTCTGTAGGCAAAGCGTGGGAAGTCACTTTTCTCAATGGGCCTTAGTAATACAGCCCAGACACACGGCTGGTTGCAGTTAGGCTGGGCTGCGCCCACCCCCGTGGCTGGGAAACTTTGCTTTGGCTCACTTGGTTTAGTGTTCAGGAAGATCTCCCGAAAGACTTTAAAGCAAGAATTGCACATCTATGTGCATGGAATTATTATTATTATTATTATTATTATTATTATTATTATTATCATCAGGGCAAAACAGTTTGTGTATTGCTTGTCCCTTTGTGGGTTTGCTTGCTTAACCATCAGGATCCCACCTTTCTCTCACAGAGACTCGAGCTGGCTTAGGATGTAAAACCAAAAGGCCATCTACCATTTAAAACAGTTTACAACAGGGGTGCCAACTTGAATAAAATATTGGCGGGTGGCAGGTAATCTCCGCCCCACATAATTGATCACATGATGTAATGCAGGCACAACTTTGGAATGGCAATGCCCATCAACTTTGGGGAGGGCAAAGACCCCCTCGGGCCCTAGGAGTTGGCTCCTATGGTTTACAATATAACACAAGCACAAGAGAGTGGTTTTTTTAAAGGCACAAGGAAATTTACAGGAGCAGAAAGTAATATCAATGCAGGCAAAACACTTTAAATATATTTTGATGTATTTTTAATCTTTGTTGGAAGCCTCCCAGAACAGCTGGGGAAACCCAGCCAGATGGGCGGGGTACAAATAAAGGTAAAGGGACCCCTGACCATTAGGTCCAGTCGTGACCGACTCTGGGGTTGCGGCACTCATCTCGCTTTATTGGCTGAGGGAGCATGTACAGCTTCCGGGTCATGTGGCCAGCATGACTAAGCCGCTTCTGGCGTACCAGAGCAGCACACGGAAACGCCGTTTACCTTCCCGCCAGAGCGGTACCTATTTATCTACTTGCACTGCCGTGCTGTCGAACTGCTAGGTTGGCAGGAGCAGGGACTGAGCAAAGGGAGCTCACCCCATCGCGGGGATTCGAACCCCTGACCTTCTGATTGGCAAGTCCTAGGCTCTGTGGTTTAACTCACAGCGCCACCCGCATCCCGGGGTACAAATAAATTATTATTATTATTATTATTATTATTATTATTATTTTAAAGCCCACATTTTTGTTCAGAGAGCAGTGAGTACAGGCTTTTGGAGTGGGGTGATTCCACAGAATATATGTATCTCACGTTTCCCACCTGCTGTTCTTCAGACGATGTGAAGATGGACGATCAACGGGGTCTCAGCTGTGGAATTAGGTGCCTGGAGAGACTTATAAGGAAGTAGTCCTCCAGATATCCAGGTCCCAGACCAGCCTGGTGCCTTCCATATGCTTTGGACTACAACTCATCTCATTGTTGTCCATTGGCCCTACTGACTGGAGTGATGGGAATTGGACTCCATCAGAAGAACACGAGTTTTAGAAAGGCTCATCCAAACCATTCAGCGCATTCACAGATGAGACAATCAATCATTTCAATGGGAGCCCAATGGTGGGGGCTGCCCATTAAATCTGGTGGGGTGGTCACACCAGCGATTTTTCTCTCACACACATCTACACATAGCAATACTTGATGCAGATGTATGCTTTTTTCATGTGACACAGGCAGCCAGGTCTATGGTCTGAAAGATGGAGAATGAAAGAGCTGGAGAAGGAGGGCATTTCTGTACTTCCTAGTCACCAAGCAGCCCAGGAGCTGCTCAGGGCATAGGAAAAGACCCCTTTTTCCCTGAGAAAATTACACCCTTGACAGTACAAGAATGTGCTTGAAGCTGTTTGGAGGAAACAATTCTGAACATGCTCAGAACAGGTCCCAGGTTTACCTAGCAGAGACTGGTCTGTTAAGGCAAAAAGGGCTCAGCCCCACCAAGTGAAATGACCAGTGGTGTCCTCTTTTCCATCTCAAAGCCACACTCTTTCCTGCCCAACACATCCTTCCACAATCCACTTCAATAGAAAGAGAGTTCAGGACACTTTACCGCCAATCTCCCATTCACTGGCCAGCCAGCTCTCTGCAATTGGTGGGGCAGTGCCCCATGTGCCCCAATAGACCAGCCACCATTGCACATGAATGATGGTGCTTTATAGAGCAGCAGCAATAAGAGACTCCTCTGTCCCAAGGTGCTTACAACCCACATTACAACAAAGAGAAAGGGAGTAAGGGAGCAAAAGGTGAAAGAAGATTCAACATGGATTGGAGAAGCACAAATGCAATTCACATGCTTAGGTTAAGATTTAGTTCAGTGAGATAAAGACATCCTTGTCTATGTCTACAAATTTGTATGCTTAATTTATGGACCACGGTTGCTTTTTCACCCCAAAGGTGAGGGCTATAGCTCCGTGACAGAGCTGTCCTGGGTTCAACCCCCAACATCTCCAGGTAGGACTGGGAGACGGTCCTGCCTAAAGTCATATAGAGCTGCTGCCAGACTGTGTCAACAATACTGAGTTAGATGGTCCAGTAGTCTGACATAGTATAAGGCAACTTCCTATGTTACTGAGCGACTCAAGGTTGACATGCAGCAATCACCTTTGCAATAAAGCCAATCCAAACTATCCACCAACCTAACAAAAATAAAATAAGGGTTGCATCCAATAGTTGGTTGGTTGAGCTTGATGAATGCTACTTTACACAATGAGCTGTCCCCTCAAATGGCTTACAGCAAACATTCAGAAACATCAAAATGCAGAGCATTGGAGGTACAGTCAAACCTCAGTTCCCAAATGCCTCTGTTATCGTACGTTTCAGCTCCCAAATGCCCAAAACCTGGAAGTAAATGATCCAGTTTTTGAATGTTTTTCGGAACCCGAATGTCCAACATGGCTTCCGCTTGCAAGAAGTTCTTGCAACCAATCGGAAGCCGTTCCTCAGTTGTCGAATGTTTTGGAAGTTGAACGGTCTTCCAGTACAGATTACATTCAGATTACGTTCCAGTATAGATTACGTTCGACAACCGAGGTTTGACTGTACAAATAGGCCAAATACAAAGTCTGTCAGTGGATTCAAAAAACAACAACAATTTAGCAAGCACAGAATGAATTCAATTTTTTTTTTAAAAAAAAAAAAGTCTAGGCTTAAGTACATAAATACAAACAATACTAGAGCTTACAGACAAAGAGGCACCTGAGTGCCTCAAGCAAAAGGAATCCTGACCACACTGTGATTGTTGTGCTGCAAGATTTTACCATTGCTCATGTGCTTTTCGGTGCTCTCTCTCATCACATCAGGATACCCCTGAGATCAGTTCAGACCTGTGACGCTCTTACCTGCTCCAAGGGGACCCCCAACCTTCTGGAGCAGTTCTGAGGATGTGTGAGGGTGCGAGAGGGAGGGGGAAGCTCAGTTGCATGAGCAGAAATAACGCCATTCGCACAGTGACTTCATTGACTGCAAAATTGCAATAAAACCTGCATCAGCAGCTGATACTTCCAGGAGGCTGGGGAAGAAACTTACCACCATTGCCCTCCCTGAAATTTGCCTTTTGTGGCTGTCAGCGTCCTCTGGAAGAGTTATATGGGAACACTTTGTATGTCATCTAGCCTGGTAGGAACCCCTCCCAACTGAACTGTATTTAAGCAAGGTTCCTTGGAGTGCAGCAAGACCAGTGCCAGAAACTTTATTGTCACTCAAGACCCGCTTTGCAACCTGTTCAGTACCTGTGAATGTTTGTGTACAGCAGAGTAAGCAGCACTAATCATGAACTTGGCTGCCATGCAGATGTGACGGTGGCTGCCAGCTGCTTTGATCTGTGGGCCTTCAGAGCAAAGAGGAGGCATTCATCTTTACCTCTTGCCCTCTGGAAGCCCAGGCTGCATTGCAGATCTTTGGCTGCATTTGAAAGCTTTAAAAAAAAATGTGGGTGAAAAAATGCTCTAATACAAATTCTTATGAACACAGGGATGCTTTAGGGATCAGACAAATACACGGGGAACATATCTCTCAATAACCAGTGACTGAATCGTTTTATTTTCAGGCCGCCTTTCCAAAGTTAAAACCCTGCTCAAGGCAGTTTGCAACATATAGCATAGCTACAAACATAACAAAGGGAAATTATTGGTTAGTTGTTCCTATTTTTCTTATGCATTTTGTGGTTTTTATATTGTAATTTTATGTTGTATACTGGTAAAGTGTACTGCCCTGAGATCTACGTACGAAGGGCCGTATACAAATTTAAGAAATAAATAGAATAAAAATAGTCCTAAACAATACACAAAGCATCAACACGTACACAACCAAATTAAACAACTTCCATATAAATCATAAGATCCAAAATAAAGGTACAAAAAAAAAAATTGCAGCAACAACTTCCCACCCAACCAAAACCCTCTAAACAATGCCCCAACTTCTATCTAAAGTTTCAGGTTCAAAAGCAGTATACTGTTGAATACTTGCAGGAAAACACTCTACTAATAATATATAGATCAGAACCAGAAATCAGATTGGGGAAGTGCTGTAGCTTAGTGGTAGGGATTCTGTTTCATATGCAGAAGGTCCCAGGTTCAATCCCCAGCATCTACAGGTAGGACTGAGAATGTCCACTATCTGAAACTTTGGAGAGAAGTTGCCAGTCAGTGCAGAAAATATTGAGATAGATTAACCAACAGTCTGACTCGGGATAGTAAAGGTAAAGGGACCCCTGACCATTAGATCCAGTCGTGGCCAACTCTGGGGTTGCGGCGCTCATCTCGCTTTATTGGCCAAGGGAGCCGGCGTACATCTTCAGGGTCATGTGGCCAGCATGACTAAGCCGCTTCTGGCGAACCAGAGCAGCACACGGAAACGCCGTTTACCTTCCCGCCGTTTACCTTACCTTATCTACTTGCACTTTGACATGCTTTCGAATTGCTAGGTTGGCAGGAGCACGGACCGAGCAACGGGAGCTCACCCCATCACAGGGATTCGAACAGCCGACCTTCTGATCTGCAAGTCCTAGGCTCTGGTTTAACCCACAGTGCCACCTGTGTCCCTCTGACTTGGGATAAGACAGTACAATTCCTAAGGCATCTTTAAAAGCTCAGCTGGAAGGAAGAAGGATGGCAGTACTGAAACACAATAAAACATTTGCTGTTAGTTTACAACGATTTCTAGTGTTGTGCTATTCATTCATTCACCATTTTATTTATGTGCCGCCTTTCCATAGTTAAAACAATGCTCAGGGCGACGGACAACATGACAAGATTTATGTAATTACCAACATAACAAAAGTCATAAACAAGAAATAAAACACATCAAAAAGTACACAACCAAATGGAAAACAATTTCCACATAAATCATAAAATCTAAAACTAAGAATACAGCATTAATATCAATCACAATTTAAAATGACACAGATAAAAAAAATAAAAGCAATTTAAAAAACAAACACAAAAATGGAACCCTCTCTGCCCAGCATCAGCATCAGCAGTCCTTTATGGAGCCCCAAGCCAGGTGGAGAGAAGCAGGGCATGGCCCTTCAGGCTCCCAGCAAGTCAGCTATAACACTAGAAGCAATGTCTGGTTCTACGAGTGGAGTATAGATCCATGCAGTGATTGTGAAGCCTTAAAGTGTGTGTAAGACAGGCATAGGCAAACTCAGTCCTCCAGATGTGTTAGGACTACACCTCCCATCATCCCTAGCTAACAGGATCAGTGGTCAGAGATGATAGGAGTTGTAGTCCCAAAACATCTGGAGGACTGAGTTTTCCTATATAGTCATACATCGGGTTACAGATGCTTCAGGTTGCGTTTTTTCGGGTTGCGGACCACCAAAACCCAGAAGTACTGGAACAGGTCACTTCCGGGTTTCGGCAGTCACGCATGCGCAGAAGTGCTAAATCACATTTTGTGCATGCACAGAAGTGCTGGATCGCAACCAGCCCGTGCGCAGACATGCCGCTGCGGGTTGCAAACATGCATCCCGCATGGATCACATTTGCAACCCAAGCATCCACTATACTTGGTGTAAGAGGAAAGATGGAATGGCTTAGAGCTCAAGATCTGTTGGATCTCTCCAACCATGGCTGCAGACAACTGGAGAAGTCTTCAAGTGGAGCTTATGAGAAGACATAAGAAGAGCCTGCTGGATCAGACCAATGGCCCCTCTAGTCCAACATCCTGTTCTCACCAGGTGCATGTGGGGAAACCACAAGAAGGACCCCAGCGCAAGAGCTTTGCCGTTGCAGCTAGTAGCCATTGACTGCTCCCTCCTCCCTGAATTTGTCTAATCCTCTTTTGAAGCCATTCAAGTTGGTGGTCATCACTGTCTTCCATAGTGAGTTCCATAGTTTAACTATGTTCTGCATGAAGAAGTGATTTCTTTTGTCTGTCTTGAATCTTCCAGCTTCAATGGATGCCCACAAGTAAAAGGTAACCCATTTATTGAATCTTGTAAGGTCCCAAGGTATTGATTTCTTTAATTCCTGCTCACTAACTGCAGCGGAGAGGTCTAGATGTGATGCTGTGGTTAACAAGTTTCAGGAACACTGTGTACCAGGCAAAATGAGACTCTTCGAAAGAGATGCTTTTTTTTCCATACAAGAAATCGAAATGAGACGGAATCCTTACAGTTTTTCAGCTGACCCAAGAAGGCTGAGCCAGGCATGTAACTGTGGATAGCTTGCTGACTCATTAATAAGGGATCAGATTGTCCTAGGAGTACATAATTGCAAATTGAGAGGAAGATTGCTAGAAATTAAAGATCTTATATTGGCAAAGGCAACTGAAGTGTGTTAAGCGGCAGAAGTCACACAGAGAAGCATAGATTTTTCTGAGCTTTTTTGGGGTTCTGGGGGGAGAATGATGGCTTCTAGTAGCTGTTGCAGAGTGCAGAGGGGATCCAACTTGAAACCTAAGCTTGATTATGTTAAAGTAGTTGGTCAAGTTTTTCCCAATATGATCTCAGTTCCTCACAAGACTTTACTGGAGGTATGTACACGCAGATGCAATAAGTATTTCTCAGGAGACTATCAGAAAGGGACAACACTAAAAAATTAGGGGTGGTTAATGAGGGACACTGTTGAATTGATACATTAAGAGAGGTTGACACCAGCACTGCCAGCCCCCCACTAGGCCTTCCATACTTTACAGTTTTAAGAACTGGTTGAGTGTAATTTGTAAAATCCTGTAATTCAACCAGAGTGCCCTCTTTTGCCCAGGTTTCTTGAAGAAAGAAGATATCATGTGTTTGTAGATAAGAACAGAAATCACTGTCTTGGATCTTGTTCATCCACCCTGTTACATTCCATGAGAGAAGTTTAATTGTTTTACAGTGATTTACTCTTAGGATTATGTTAAAGAGCAAGCTGAAGTCTACACAGAATGTGGCTGTGTGCATGAACCCCAGCAGCACAGAGCCCATGGGGTGGGCACTGGAGAATGTGCAAAAAAGAGCCAAAATATGGACCACTTTGCTAGAGTCTGAAAGCAAAATCGGAGTGATAAGAAAAAGCTGCAGCTGTTCTAGATAAAACACGTGAATTGCTTTTTAAACCTAAATAGCAGGGACCAGATTCTTCCCAAAGCAGTTTCCGCACAATACAACATCATTATAGCAAATAATCAATCGGTAACAATAATGGTTTCAATTTAATTGATTTTATTCTGTTGCCTTTTCGGCACCTGCTGAAGCCCTTCACCTTTCAACAAGCCTTTTCAGTTGAGTTTTTTCCTAGTTTCCTTTTGTATTGGTCATTTCTATTGTTTTATTGCCTCCCTGGGCTCCTTTGGTTGGAAAGGTAAGGCATATGTTGAACTCTTGGAATGCCACTGCCAGAAAGGATAGACTATACTGAGCCACATGGACCATTGGTCTGTCTTGGTACCAGGAAGCTTGCAGTTTCCATAGCCTTCAGACCTTCAGAGAAGATTTAGGGGTGCAAGAAAACTCATTGCGTGAGCAGAACAACACTTCCATTTTTGCAAGGGCACTGCAACCTTCTATATCTCTGTATTGTTTTAACTTAAGAGAATATGAATTGGAATCTGAAATCCAACGGAGGAGAATCAAAGAGATTCCACACACACCCATGTTTGTTTTAGCTCCACTTCCAGATAAAGTGTTTGTGCACCGCAGTAGCAAAAATTATGGCATGGGTGGGGCGGTGGGGGAGAGAGAAAACTGATTGAATTCACCCTCCGCCAGACAATCACACACAGAGCAACATTCTCTTTAGAATTCTTGCTTCTTTTACCTGCATAGTCTTTTGGAAAACAATTGGATTTCTGCTCCCCACCACCACCACAATCTTATAGTCCAATAAGCTATATTTAACGCATTTCATATTGTGCTCCTGGAGATTATGTGCAATTACTTCCCCCTCTTGTAATTTTGTTCTCTAAAAATCACTACTCCCCTTTCATTTGTTCCAAGAAATGTTTTATACACCTTCGTGAATTTATCCAACTGTGCAACACCTAATTTTAACAAACTCCAATGAAATACTCCTTAAGCATAATTAGAAAATGGGTATATGTTAAACAAAGTGTGAATGCAATTCTCTTTTCCACTTAGACCCCCAAAGCCATTTTTCTTCCACATTATTTAGTTATAGCCTTGACTGATTGTGATGAATCCTGTCTTCCATTTTTCAATATTTCGAAGGTTTCTTGTGTGTCTTAATGGCTTTGCTGCAAATTCAACCCAATATCTATAGCTGCAATCCTATGCATACTTGCACAAGATTACATTTCACTGAATTCAGCTAGACTTAGTTTGTGAGAACTGAGAAAACATTCAGACAGCAAGCATCAATTCTTTGTTTTGGGATCACAAACTCGCATTTATGAATGTTGGCAAGCCAGGCAAAGTCATCCACGGTTGTCTGAAACCCATGAAAGAATAAAAGAAAGCAGCAGGAGGAAATAACCAGATGAATAATAGAACTGCAAAGTTGGAAGGGGCCACAAGGATAATCTAGTCCAACCTCTTGCAATGCAGGAATCTTTTGCACACTGTGGGGCTCAAACCCAGTTGTGGTTGGCATGTCTGCCTTGAGAGACAATGGAGTGTGCCTTAAAGGGTGAAGTCAAACTGCCATGTTAGCAGCACCAAAATGACCTTCCTGGGGTACAACCCTAGGCAGTGTGTATGGAGGTCCTGGGCTGCCCAGATGAAAAGACTCCCCCGCCAGACTCATTGATGTGGTCCAAAGGAAAGCAGAGCAATTTGTTTGGCACCAGCTTGGCTGCAGGCATTGCCAGAAGGAGGTGCACAAGGCACCATCCAACCACCTTAGGGACTTCATTCCAGATTTGTGTAGGGTTTACTCCTTAGCCTTTTCTTCTCTTGAAGATGTCCTACAAGGCACTGGAGGTTTGGGATCAGGTTGATGAGCCCCATCTTCCCAGACTGATAAGCCCCATCACTTCCCTCATGTGTCATACTCTACCAACTGAACTATCCCAGCAGAGGTGGTAGCGGCAGTGGCTGGTGCCCATTGGCAGGGAGCCCAACACTAGGTAGAGCCAGAGAGCCAGAGTCAACTAATTCTAGCTTTGTCCCCATCCTCCTCTTTGCTGAATTCTACAAGGTGCAACACTGAGACTAAAGAGGAAGTAGCTGACAAACAATGTCAACTTCTGGATTGATTGCAAGTAAGAAGGCAGGAGATGGGGGCTGGCTGAGGGCAGACTGAGGGCACTGAGGTTAGTGGAGGACTGCCCCATTTGGGTGGCAGATGGCTGAGGAATGGGCCACAGGATGGAGACTGGTAGCCGAGACAGGGTCTTAGAAGCAGACTTTGTCATACCATGGACAGCTCTGGCACAGTAGATAAGTTGCTCTGGCAAGATGCAAACTGAACCAAACCCTTTTATTCAAGGGTTGCCGCTGAATACCAGTTGCTGTGAGTTGCAGGTGTGTTTTCATGGGCCACTGTGTTGACCACTGTGAGAACAGAGTTCTGGACCAGATGGGTCCTTGGTCAGATCCAGCAGGTTCTGCTGGTGTTCTTATGAAAAGCCCCCTGCAACTGATCCCAGACCTCTGGCAGGAGCAATATGCCTCTTCACTGGTGGGAAAGAAGAGACAGAAAGAAAATGGGTTGCAGGGGACAGAAAGGAGTGGCCTAAAGAGAGAGAGGGGTGATGGGGGTGGAGAAAGAGAGTTGGGGCCTTATCACCCTTTTAGCTCTGTCCACACACCCCACTGCCTTCAGCCTCCCCCCAACATGCATCCCAACAGGCAGAGACAGAGATTCCCCTTGAGGGAATGCAGCCCTTGACAGAAAAAAAGTCTCCATCCCTGGATTTAAGGGGTGATCGTTGATTGTTTGGATTGATTGAACTGGATTGTTTTTTGGAGGTTGGTTGCTTACATGCCTCTCTGTACAAAAGCAAATGAACTATGCACATCAACAACAAAAAGTCAGGGTTGTCATCTAATCATAGGAACTTAAGAGGCTGCCTTACATTCAGGCAAACTGATGGCCCATCAAGCTCAGTATTGTCTAAACTGACTGGCAGCGACACCCCAAGGTGTCAGACAGGGGTCACTTCCAGCCATACCTGGAGAGGCCAGACATTGAACCTGAGACTTTCTGCATGCAAGGCAGGTGCTCTGCCACTGAACTACATCCCTTCCTTTTCGCTGAAGAGCTAGTTTTCCATGTATAGGCTTCACCCTCCAACACCACCATGGAGAATCAGAATGTTCCATGCCTAAAGCTACAGCGGTACAATCGCAACACAGCATTACTGCTTCAGTGAGAACACCTTAAAGATAGCGGTTGTTTTGGAAAAAATGGGGGGAAGGGGAGAATTGGCCAGCTTAGTCTTGGTTACTTGAACCGCTGTCTGTAAATGACTATTTTGTTACATGGAGCAGAAACTTGTCCATTAAAAAAATAAAAAAGGCTGAGGAAAGGAAATGGAATAGCTCCTCGTGTCAAAAGTTATAGTCTGAATTTTACATCTGCAGAAAGTCTTGGCAATGTGTCTTCTAGACCCAATCACTGCAAAGAGGTCATTTCTGAGGTCCTGTAGATGGAATTCTCCTACAGTGGAGTTAAAGAACTGGGTGGAGAGAAAGAAAGGACTGGCAGACACCACCAAAAGGGTCAACAGGGCAATTCAGTTCTAAATCTCTATTGAACGATCTTACAGTGCAATGCTATGCATGTCTGCTGCAAAGATTTAAGCCCCATGGAGTTCAGCAGGGCTTACCAGGTAGCAATCCTATACATCAGAGGGGGCGGAACTTTTTCAGCCTGAGGGTCAAATTCCCTTCTGAGCAGCCTGTCAGGACCCAAATGCCAATACAATCATACCTCAGGTTAAATATGCTTCAGGTTGAACATTTTCAGGTTGCGCTCTGCGGCGACCCGGAAGTAACGGAACGGGTTACTTCCGGGTTTCACCACTCGTGCATGCGCAGACACTCAAAATGACATCACGAACATGCGCAGAAGCAGCGAATCATGACCTGCGCACTCACAGATGCACAGATGTAGGTTGCATTCTACTCAGGATGCGAACGGGGCTCCGGAACGGATCCCGTTCGCATCCAGAGGTACCACTGCAGAGGGAGGCAGAAGCAAAATTAAGCAGAGCCATGCATGTGAATTTTGGCTTTGTGCAGTAAGCTAATTTGTCCAAAATCCAGGCAAGCAAGTAGTATTATTGAAGTTCAAGGGCACCTTCCACGCAGGCAAAAATGCCCAAGGATGACACAAAGCAGAGCTGTGTGTTTGTGTGTGCAGTGGGCTCTGGGGAGAATCTCAAGGCCCAGATTAAGAGGACTGGAGAAGCAACATTTTCACCCCCGGTCACAGGTTGCCCATCCCAGCTATACACTTTCCCGGAAATAATGGTGCTTATTTCTGAATAGGTATGTATAGGATTATGCTGCAGAACTGTGAGTATCTGGAGCCACCAATCTTCCACGCTCAAATTCTGCCACAGAATCAAGTAGGGTCAAATTTTCAATAGATTTTCTGCCTGGTCATTATTCTTCTTAATACTAAATGCAACTGCACCACTCAAAACATGCCTGCTTCTGTTATCCTGCTGTTAAAATGAAGGCTAGGTCATTTTCTCCTTCTTTTTTCCTGAATTTATATCCCACCTTTCTTCCAAAGAGCTCAAGGTGGAGTCCACAGCTCACCCCTTCTCCATAACAACCCTGTGAGGATAACTGGCCCAAGGTTACCGAGTGAGCTTCATGGCTGAGCAGGGATTTGAACCCTGAGTCTCCTGGGTCCTTGTCTGGCATTCTAACCATTACATCACACCAGACCGTCTCTCTTTAGACTGAGCCTAGAAGCAAAGATTAGAAGGTGAAGCTTTATCAGGACATGGAGTAATTAATGTAAGCTGCTAATCACTGCAAATTAAGTTCACTTATGAAAGGCAAATGGGACACGGGTGGCGCTGTGGGTTAAACCACTGAGCCTCTTGGGCTTGCCAATAAGAAGGTCGGCGGTTCGAATCCCCATGACAGGGTGAGCTCCCGTTGCTCGGTCCCTGCTCCTGCCAACCTAGCAGTTCGAAAGCACATCAAAGTGCAAGTAGATAAATAGGTACCGCTCCGGTGGGAAGGTAAACGGCGTTTCCGTGCACTCCTCTGGTTCGCCAGAAGTGGCTTAGTCATGCTGGCCACATGACCCGGAAGCTGTACGCCGGCTCCCTCAGCCAATAAAGCGAGATGAGCGCCACAACCCCAGAGTCGGCCATGACTGGACCTAATGGTCAGGGGTCCCTTTACCTTTATGAAAGGCAAAGCTACAGGGACCAATTGAACAGCCTTAGCCGCCATTAGTGGTGCTTTTGACCTATAAAGCCTTAAATGATTCAGGACCACAATACCTCAAGGACTGCCTCTCCCCATATGAACTGACCCAGACCCTGAGATCATCTTCTGACACTCTTCTTCATGTGCATTCTCCATGAGAGGTCCAGAGGATGGCAACACGAGAATGGGCCTTTTCTGCAGTGGCTCCCCACTGCAGAATGTATTTTTGTGTTTTTATATTGTAAACTTCCCTGTGATCCTCAGATATGGAAATAATTATTATAAGAATGGTTGCCCCTATTTCCTTCAGGGCTGCAGAGGTCTCTGCACTAAAGCCATCATGCTACACAATAGGCCACTAGTAGGGTGTAGGGGAAGAAGATTGCTTTTGCTTTGATTTTAATGTGAAACAACTTAATTCACATGAACTGAAACACAGCTAGCCTTCAAAATGTACAGTTCTCCAAATTTTGCAATTCAGTTCTCAAAACAGTCAGTGTGTGCAAAAACGTGTATCTCTGGAGAAAGCATGCGTAGGCATGCATATTTTTGTGAAAATTATACCAAAAAAGCATTATATTGCGAGAAATTGCTTGGAAAGATGTGGGCATGTTTGTCAACACTGCAAACCAAAAAATGTGTTTCTTAGGAGAAATCCAAACTAAAAGACTTGAATGAATTTTCAGGAGGATTTTTTTATTTTTTAAAAAATGCAAATTACTGTAGGAACATTGGGGAATTGAACTCAAAGTTGGAAATAAGGCAAGCTGGGACAAACTGATATTTATTGTTTGGCCCAACCCTAGACATTAGGCAAAGTTGCTCCTTCAAGAACAGGACTCCCTCTCTGGCCACTTCCAGATGACTTATTAGCTTATTGGCCTGAATATAAGTCACACCTGCAAATAAGCCACACCTTTAAAATTCATGGGGGGGGGGGGGGAGAGAGAGAAAAAGACAATACCCGAATATAAGCTGCTCCCTTCCTCCCTTCCTGGCCTTGGAGGAGAGGATGGGGGACTATGCGCAGGGCAAGTACCACTTCGCTGCGCTCCTGGCACTGTTTGCCTTGAGCTGTTGGCTGCATACTGGACTGGGGGAGCCACTCTGTGTTGCCTGTAGCCTTTTCCCTTCCTTGCTCTCTCTGCCTTCCTGGCCTTGGGGTGAGGATGGGGGACTACGTGTGGGGCGGGTGCCGCTTCCTCGCACTCCTAGTGTGTTTGTCTTGCGCTCCCTGCTGCCTATTGGGTGGGGGGGAGCCTTCCCTGTCAGGTGCTGATGTGCTTGCTCGAGAGCAAACAGGCAAGACTCCAACCTGACTTTTCAGGCTTTATTATCTGTACAAACTATTTACAGTGCAGAGCATCGCAAGTCCATGTCTGCTCAGTTGCTAGCAGAATCTGGGAGTGGGCGGCCCTTATACCTTCCCCAGCATAACAGTCGTGTGACCCCAGTCCTTCTCCTCCCCTCTCTGCGCCAAAGACTACTGCGCAGAATGGGCGCAGGCAAAGGGGGACTTGCCTCCCCTCCCCTCCGCTTTGCTCAGGCTCCGTGTTGAGGTTCTCCCTAGCATCTTCTGATCCCTGTGTCCCTTCCCCACTGGAGGAACTGCTTCGCAAGATCTTCGGAGGCTCCCTGTAACACAACTGCCCTTCCACCTCTCACCTCTGAGCTGATGGCAGTTCCCTGACATTCCCCTTTCCCCGCTTCCACCCTTTCCCGGCCATGGGGGGGAAGGTCTAGGAAGCTGCGGGTGGGGGCCGCTTCCCCGCATTCCTGGCAGCATCACGGGCTGAGGGGGAGCCATGCCGCAGTGCCAGCAGTCCCCCCCTCCCCCGCATTCTTTCCTACCCAGCTCTGGGGGAGCTGTGGATGGGATGGGAACGATATCATAAAAGCCAATTTTTGTAAGGTCTAGAATTTAAGCCGCACTTTAACTTTTCACAGTTGGAATTTGGGGGGAAAAACAAGTGTGGCCTATATTTAGGCCAATACGGTAATTGAGCATTAGTTTTATTTGTTTGCAGAAAGTTTGTGGTGTGATTATATGACACTGGCTGTTAGCAAGGATGTTACATGACATCACACCATCCCATACTCTCCGATGCAGAGTTCTGGATCAGAGTGAGGCTTGCAAGGGCAGTCTCAGGGCCAAGGGCTTTTCCAGGACTGACACCCAAAATCTGTCTAGTGACTGAATCTTGGTGGTGAGCCCTAAAATAAAGATCACCTAGTGAGAGAATGTGGCTTTTGAACACGCTGAACCCATGCACCTCTCCTTTTAGAAATTAATCAAGGTAACCTGTAGTGCAAGGGACACAGGTGGCGCAGTGGGTTAAACCACAGAGCCTAGGGTTTGCTGATCAGAAGGTCGGTGGTTCGAATCAGTCCCTGCTCCTGCCAACCTAGCAGTTCAAAAGCACATCAAAGTGCAAGTAGATAAATAGGTACCGCTCTGGCGGTAAGGTAAACAGTATTTCCGTGCGCTGCTGTGGTTCGCCAGAAGTGGCTTAGTCATGCTGGCCACATGACCTGGAAGCTGTACGCCAGCTCCCTCGGCCAATAAAGCGAGATGAGCGCCGCAACCCCAGAGTCGGCCACAACTGGACCTAATGGTCAGGGGTCCCTTTACCTTTACCTTTAACCTGTAGTGCAGTGCCATATACTGTACTTTGGGATGGCAAACTAAAATCTGAGTAGCAAAGAGGACAGCAATAAAGAAGTTAACGTTTTCGTTGAAGAAAAATGTGTGAAAATTGTTTTGGGGTTTTTTTAAAACCGCCTTTCCACACTAACAAAAGTAATTTTTCTGGATTTGCATAGTAATGATTTCTTTTCTTTTAGGATGCAGAGGGTGGCATTAAACAGCCACCCTTCTGCAAAAAATACGTCCAGGCCACAATTTTTTAAAATATCCAGGTTTCAGCGGGAAATGGTCCTTTCCATCAGCGGAGAGGAATATTGGATTCTAGAGCATAGTTGTTCATTGAATGGAACTGCCAAAGAATTCTTGGCCTCTCCTGAGGTTCCATTCAGTTATAACACCGCCTTATAAAAAGATAAGATATCATCGCCGTCGCTCAGTAATTTTTCTGGGGTTGGGAATGAAAGTACAGAACAAATAAAACACACCAAACCCAAAGTATGAAACTTTCTCCCAAAGGAGGTCATCTGCTGAGGGCTGGAGGCAGATGTAATGGATGGGTCTGTCAAAAGGGTTAGACATTTTTATGACAGCTAATGATGTTGATTATTTATTTACCCACATTTCTGCTCTTAGCTAGTCTGGCATGAGACTCTTGCGACTGCTCACCCTCCCTGATTTGAGATGTATCACCTTAACCGGGGAGGAAATTTGAGATGTGTGTGTGTGTGTGTGTGTGTGTGTGTGCATGTTTAAATCAAGTGAATAACCACAACATGAACTGCACTGTCAAAGCTCCATGCGAGCATTAGCTAATGAATCTCCAACTAATTAGCTTACTAGCTTCGATGAGATAAGAATAATCAGATTTCATGCTAGAGGGAGCTAGCTGGCTGCTGTAACTGGGCAACAAGTTGCCTTTTCGCTCTCTCTTTTTTTGCACTTTGCATCCAGGCTCTGCTAAACCGTATCTTTGAGAGAGGCGAGAGTCTGTGGTTTTCACCTTCTCAGCAGCATTCTCTGAGGCACGAAAGTCGACTTGTTGGGTGACATCTGTCAGAAGCAGGGAAGGGGACGTGATGAGTGACCCATCTGATATCCTCCCTCCCATGCTCGTTCCCATGTGTCCTACTTTAAAGAAGGAGGTGGGATTTTCTCCTCTTTAAAAAGTCAACCAGTCCTCTTTATTTATGTAGGGTTTTCAATTCGGTCTAGCACCTTGAGTGAACCTAAAATGAATCCTTCATCTATGCAATGCTCTGTGGGCTTTGATGGTTGACAATTCCCCCAAAGCATTGGAAGGTGACACCCCCAGGTGTGCCGCCATCCTGCAGAAGTAACACCTGCACAGCAAGAACCTCTTCTCTGTTTCATGTACCAGAAGATCTTTGCTAGGGAGTAGCTTCTCTGTAGCCCACGCCTCATAATAATTTATCCAGTAGATCAGATCATTTCGCCCAACTAGTCCAGAATTCTCTGCTCACAGTGGCAAAATAGATGCCTAAATTCCACAAGCAGGACATGAGCACAACAGCACTCTTCCATTAAGAGACATACTAGCTTGCAGACCCATTTACTCAGAGTATACCCATTTAAATTAATGGCAGTGACTCACTTAGGTCTATTCTGAGTAAACATCCATTGAATACAATGAACTGCCTCTGATAGCAGAGGTTGTATGAAGCCATCATGACTACAGGCCTTTGATACACTCCATGAATATGTCCAATCCCCTTTTAAAGCTGCCCAACTCAGTGCCCATCATCTGATGGTAGCAAATTCATTCACACAACACACAACTTCAGCTCCATCTTGCAAGGCCCTACCTTTTCGCTTCAGGTTTACCGTCTGCTTACTCTTGT